TTGTTGATCCTCTTGAGCGCTCTCTGTCTCAGCGGTTGGTATATTGGATCGATGTCGATATGCATGTTGATTGAGTACGTGGTTGAGAACCAGGCTTCGAGAAACACCCTCTCCTTTTGTGTTTTTCCTTTGATCAAGATCTCTACCCTGCTCCAGTCGAAGCTGTGTCCCTCTTCATCCACGTGTGCTGAAACCAATGGAGTTGCGTAATGTTTCTTGCACGCTCTTTGGTGTTCATGTATCCTTGTGGACAGCTTCTTTCCTGTTTGTCCCACATAGTGCTTTGCACAGTTTACGCAATTTATTCTATATAACTCATTGTCGTTCTAGTGTCTCTCGCTCTCTTTTTGATTTTGACAATGTTTTTCTCAGCGTGGCGGTTGGCTTGTGGGATACCATGATATGATATTGTTTGAACAATCTGGCAGTCAGTTCAGATACGTTCCTTATGTACGGCAGAACTATACGTTTCGTCATAACTGACGTAGTTTCGGTTTTTGAGGGTTTGCGGTTTAAGCATCTTCGGAGGAAACTGCGTGGGTATCCGTTGTGTTCAAATGACTTGAATAAGTGTTTTTCTTCTGCGCGTTTCGCTTCTGTCGTACTGCAGTGAGTTGCTGTGCTATGGAACAGTGTCTGCACACAGCTTATGTTGTGACATTTTGGATGGTTGCTGTTGAAATTCAAAATCTGATCGGTGTGCGTGCTTTTTCTGTAAAATGATGTTTGCAATTCGCCGTCCATTGTTCTGGCTACTAACACATCCAAGAAAGGAAGTTTGTTTGCTTTCTCTGATTCCATGGTAAACTGTATGCCGTCCATAGCGTTGTTAAGCAGTTGTTGTGCAACCGGTACTTGACTACGTTTGAGTATCACGAATATATCATCGACGTAGCGAACCCAAAGTTTCGGATTAATCATTGGTAGTAGATCCTCTTCCAATTTTGCATGACAATCTCCGCGATGAGTCCGGATACAGGTGATCCCATCGGTGCACCTTTCACTTGTTTATACATTTTTCCGTTGAACGCAAAGTAAGTTGAGAGACATAAGTTGAGAAGTTCACATACGCTTCTGGTCGTCATGTTCCCAATCTTCCCTCCGCTGTTGTCCAGTCGTTCTGTGATAATTTCTTTGGCCAGCTGTAAGTTGACGGAAATGAATAGGGCGGTTATATCGAAAGATACCATGGTTTCATCGTGTTCTATTCGTAGGTTTTTGAGCTTCGTCAAGAATTGTTGAGCATTGTTTATGGGGTGTTGCGATTTACACATTAGATGGTTGAGGCGCCTCCATAACTCCTTTGCCAGATAATAAGTTGGCGTGCCTGGAAGTGACACAATTGGTCTTAAGGGTGCTGCATCCTTGTGTACTTTAGGTAGTCCATAGAATTGTGCAATGTCCGAGTCGCAAGCCCTCATTTTTTCTCGTTCCTCTTCCGATATTTCGTTCGATTGCCTAAGCTTCGCCAACACTGTTTATTTTATTGGTTAGTTGAGACGTTGCGTCATTCTCAATGCATTGGTAGGTTGTAGTATCGTTCAGGAGCTGCTTCAATTTCTCGGTGTAATCTGCTTTGTCCATAATTACTGTCATCCGTCCTTTATCAGCAGGTAGGATAACAATTGATTCGTCTGACTTTAGAGCTTTTATTGCTTCTTTCTCTTGTCGGGATAGAGGGTTGCATTGCTTTAAATGCGCCATGGCTGGGACGACTGTGTATCCAATTTGTTTCTGTGTTTCGTCATCTAGTCCGTTGGACTGCAAAGCGCTTTCAAATAGTGCCAGCAAATCCGTAGTTGTCGCGTCTTTGTAGTTATAATTTAGGTCTTTGATGAGAAGTTGTTGTTCCGTACCACTGAGTGGCCGTTTTGACAGGTTCCTGATCCAACCATTGTTGATGAATTCCTCTATGCTGGTTGTCAGTTTGATCAACTTCTGGTGAAGCGCAGTCTGCTTTTTTGCTTTTGTGTTTTTAGCTCTGCGCTCTATTGCGAGTTGCACTAGTTCAGTCAGTTGCTGCCCAATTGCTTGTAAACAATTGGTTCGATGTTCGTTTAGACAACGTTCATATTTTCGGATACGGTTGTGGGCTTCGCACGACATGCATAACATGCAAAACAGTGGAGGATGAGCCGCGATATATCGCATTTAGATATCAGTCATGGCAGTCCGCTGTCGTCGCCCATGGCTCAGTGGCATAAGTCGCTGACTCGCAAAAGTAAGGTCGTGGGTTCGAATCAGGCAGGACTCGGCGGGTGCGCGCTACTGACGGGTCTCAATAGGACGAAACGGGCACTTAGCGCTTTCCTGGATGTGTGGTGGCTGTCTGGCTGTGTCTAACTGCGACGAATCTACACAAAATACCTAGGAATTTGTTGCAGCGCCCTTGGAATCAAAGACGAGATCACGAACAGTATACCAAAAGCTCGAAGTGCTTTTGCTAACCTTCGCCACATATGGCACCGGTGCGACATCACCCTCGCCCTGAAGGGTAGAGTGTGCAATGCAGCGGTACGTTCGAACTTACTATACGGTTGCGAAAGCTGGTCCCTTAGATCAGCAGACATAAAGAGGTTAGTTACCTTCGACCATCGGTGCCTTCGCAGTTTGGCTCACATCTGGTGGGAACACCGCGTGAGCAACGAGCGTGTTTGACGCCTTGTTTATGGCACAGAAAAAGCAACTGAGTCGCTCAGCACCGTCATTTCACGCACCAGGCTCCGATAGCTCGACCACGTGTTGCGCATGCCAGCCCACCGACTGCCGCGACCTGCGTTGTTTGCTCTCCGGGGGTGTGGATGGAAGAAGAGGAGGGGTGGCCAAGCGATGACCTGGTCGAGACCTCGGTTGGAGCTTCACGACTCCCTGGTTGAGGTCCAATAGGCGATGAACACGTTTGGCTGGATGCACTTGCTGATATGGCTAGGAGCCGATCTCAGTGGCGTTCTTACTGTGAGTTTATTTGTCCCGCCCCATGCCTTTTAGCCTCCCCCTCCAACCAGGATCTCATTTCGTAGCATAACCTAATTTCACATCATGATTTTTCTTGTTGCCTAATAGCCGGCTGCTGCCTTTCCGGAACGATGCCCATCCGTTGCTGGTAGCTCAGCTGGCACGCAACTGTTGTATTCATGTCTTTTTTCTTTTATGTATTGCGGCACAGTAGCTGAGGTGTGTTACACCTCTAGCTAACGTGTAAATGATGATGATAATCAACCTACAAGATTTCATGGATGGATTTGCGCTTTGTTTCCGAAGTCCGGGTCCAAGGATGGACACAAGTGGATCACAAACCTGCCAGAGTAAACAAGATTGTAGATCACATTTTTGCCCAAGACATATACCCCACATGTGTCTACGTGTTATTTCGTTTCCCACGTAGTGACCAGAGTCATGTACCTTAATTTTGTAGTATCCGATCTGGTTCCAGATACATGTAAGGACTTTAGATATCTAAACTGGGATACATTTGCTATACTGCTGCGAAAAACGAACTGGAAGCTTTTCTTTCTCACCAGAGATCCACAGGTTGCAACAGAGGAAACTTACACAAATGTCCAACACTGTCTTCATATCCTTGATCCATTCGTATTGAGAGTTGATAGGAAGGTATGCACGAAAACTACGAGTGAAGTATGCCTTTAGCGTAAGCTTAAAAACACAATGCTCAAAAATAAGACAGACTCGTGATTTATTCTTGCTTATCAGACAATATTAGCTTCGGGCTGGCCTTACCTTCAACAGTTGCCCGCATAGGTGCCGATAAATAATCCAAGGAAGTATCCTGGCAATGCAGCGACGGTATAAACAACGAGGCGTCGCTAATCGCAGATACACATATTGAACGCGAGCATCTCGACAGAACAGCAATGCACTACTATACACGGCTGAGAGAGTAAATCGAGAAGTGGAATTCGAGTGAAGAGAAATAAATCCCATGTGCAAGTGATACTCACCCACTGTTCGCCTAGAAATAAAAGCTTCGTGTTAGGGCTCCCTCATTTACTGCTTTGCTTAAAAGTCTGACACGGTGGGAAAAAGTTACACACCGCTGGGTATGGAGAAACAACTACTGGGAGCGACTGGTTGGTTAATCTATATAGGCTGTAGTATTGCCCCTGTGGCTGAAGTACAAAGTTGTTGACATGGATGTGGAATTCTGAAGTCTCAATCGTTTGTAGAGACGGCGAGATATTGTTTTGTGGGCCAACAACAGAGTGTGGGGTCAGTGCCGTTGTATGCATCAGGTTAGCAGTCACTGCACTTTGATCATTTGTACCGGCAAAGTATTGTCCATATCTGATGGGATCACAGAGTGAACGACGCGAAAGTGGACCAGTGGGTGGCTGGAGGGTTGACTTTGAAGCACGCGCTGTGGATGGATGGTGACGAGCAACCACAAGGTGGACCACGATTCACTTGAAAGTGAGCTTGGACCGGTTCGGTCACTGGGACTGCATCTGAAGCAGATAAAAGGGATCCAGCAACCAGTCGGTGACCAGTGCAACTCGGTGGCTTACAGGTAGAGGTGTCGGTTGAAAATGTAAAGATCCCGCGATCGAGTCGCAGTCCCAGTAGCCTTACCTGATGAATGCGAAACCACAGGTGGAATGTAGTGAAGGGGGTGGGCAATACCTGATTTTCATCTGGACCAGTAGGTGTCTATCAACAGTTCTTCCGATACTGTAGTGTATTGTACGTTGAGATTGAAGTGCACACGCCAGCTACATCACTCCACTCGTATACCTGCTTTAGGTCAGTGAACACTATGGGTGAGTAATAGATCATAGTGAAAAAGGATGGGCTACACTTCAACATACAACCCTCAAACTATTGAGATCGGCAACACCAACGATAGTCATAGCGCTCCCACACTCAGTCCTCTGCCTCTTGCAATCAAATATTTTATCCATAGAACCTAGCATCTCCTTGATCTTATTGTAGTATAAATAAATTTGCATATTGCCAAGCCAAAATATGAAAGAAAGTGAAAAGCTCCCAGCAACCAGTGCGATTCATGACAGCTGACACAGGTGCCCGTAAAAGATGCCGATGAGTTATAAAAACGGGTGGATGCGTAGCGACTGTGGAATGATGAATGGGAGTGGTCAGAGAATGACAGCAAGTGAAAAGAGTGGCTCAGTTCTCAAGAAGAAGTAGTGATGAAAAACACGGTGGTCTGCATATTATGCTGCCTGACAAAACAATCTTATGCGATAAGAAACAGCTGCCAAACGGTGCATCGATTCAAAAGTGTTTTGGGGATAAATAAACAAAGAGTAGTGGGCCAATAGAAAAAGAGAAATACCGGTAGGAAGTGGATGTCATCAATCGAGTAGAATGTGACATGGATTGCAATCAACGTCCGTTTAATAAACAAAGTGGTGGACTGGAGTGTGAAAATGGCATATAGTGCAAAGGATGGTGCTAGACGTAAGAAATTGATACCAAATCTGCAAACAGTGACGACGCAGGTAAACAGGAAGAATGGGTGCAACCAGATGTCCAAGATGAAATAGGCAGAAGATAAGCATTCTCTCCAGGCCCAGCAAAACATCAACAAAATTCTGTGGATTAGTAGACAAAGGGGCATCCAACTCACCGAAAAAGGGAACGGTGATTGCTAAAAGCACACGTAGTGCGCGGAGTGTGGTAAAGAACGTGAAGACAAACTCTTGAAGTAGCTCGAGTTTGCAAAGGAAACGCGCCGTGGGTTAAGTACAACGCCAAAGAACGGAAGGTTTCTGGTGAGCGTAATGTGAAATACAGATAGCTTGGATCGCAATCAAAGGGGCCAACCCCAACGTTTATCTTTTCTCTCGTATTTGGCAGCAAGAAGGGCAGCAGATCTTCCGAAGCCTCTGGCTTGATCGCTCATCTCCTGCGTCTGCAGATCCAGTTGCTGCAGTTTCTCACCGCGTTCAATAGCCGCGTTGCGAGCTCGGGCAATTTCAGATGCGGAGCCGCTTGCTTGACTTCCAACTTTCTCCATCCGAGAGCTCGATAGGAGAACGCTTGTTCCCGGCATGCTTTTTCCCGATGTTGGCTGACCGACTAAAGTTAGAAAGAAGTCATAGGTATGGCTGAGGTAGAAACATCCTGGACGAACAGTTCGCCATAAATATCGCGGAAAATGCCTTAACACAATAACTTACACAACACATCACGATCCAGTGAAGATGAGTTTCCAGTTAGTAAGTTCTTGAAAAAGCTTTTCTTTGGAGGTTCTGGCATGTCGCGCGGGAGAAACAATTCGCCTTGCATGTCCTTCAAATTAGCGCTTGTGGACAGAAGAAGGAGCAAAGCATAAGCCCGCAAGATAGTACAATTAAAAACGACTAGAGAAATCGTCGTGTTCATTCACGTTCGGATAAAATAAGAATGAGAGTTGTGGAAAAGAGCAAAGTAACTAGAAACAAAATGCAATTTTTGGAGCCATACACCCTCTGGTACAATTCAGCGCGTGGTTTTAACGATCCTGATTAGTCTGTGGAACAATAATGCGCAAGGTATCAGATCATAAAGATAATCCCAGTTCGGCTTTGAAGAAAAACAGTCCTAGATAATGAGTGAAACCGCATTACTCACCACATATCAGTAGACCAGGTAATCTTTAACAATTCCGATGGAGATGTCATGTAGGCTGCCAGACCGTATTGGCCAAAAGTAAAGGAATTGGCCACAGAATCTGTGTATGGAAGGTAGTCCACGTCCATTAGCATTCTGAGACTGGGTAATGAAAATGCAAGGAAGTGCCCATTGGCAAGATAGACGGCGAGGAATGTGGTCGACCCGTACGCGTCAGCAGTTGAGGATGACGAACGGAAGCGTTGGACGCTGGCTCGCACAACTTGGCTAGTTTCGGTTATTTTGATCTAGGCAAATAAAAGTGTCATTAAATGGGCATGACAAAAGATTTGTGTTGCGGACGCTATAGCAGAACGAAACCATTCTACCGAAATGACAGGACAAACGGCAGTTAAATCGGGGTGTAAGAAATAACTCACCGCATAGAGGCAAATTTGCGAAGGAAGAGCTACCACACGGGCTTGTTTTTCGGAACACAACACGAGTAACTGCTTGTCCGCATCTACCGTACCTGAAACCGCAGGCAAATAACTTGGGTGTGTTGCATTGGAGTCACCTGCGGGTTGAAGAAAAAACACAAAATGAAATCATACCGAAGGCTGATGTCAGTTCTGTTAGAGGAAGCGTATGACCGCAATGAATGATTGCCACTTAGAATGGTGACAACACATGGTGGTGTTTGCTTACACCACCGCGCGGCTGTGTTTACTTGAAATAGCTAAATCATCCAAAGTCCGGCTCGCAAGCCAAGTGCGGACTGCGTTAACAGTTCAATTGGCCTGTGGCCTCACCATGAGCTCATTGGCAATACATCGGGCAACAAGCAGAAGTCACGTGTTAAATTCCGCACCTAATCATCAGCCCTCGGTAGCTAAGTGGTAGAGCAAGGGACCGGAAATTCGTGGACCGGGGTTCGACTCCCCGTCGAGGCAGATTTTCGTGTGGAGTTTAATCGTGACTTCTACTCTCTACGAAATTTTAAATTTGTTTTTTTCAGTACAGACCTTATATAGAGTACAAAAAGTAAGAACGTTAGCACAAAATTCGTCAGATGCTGGCAAAATCAATGAGGTAGTAGTGTTTATTTTTAATCAACTAGGAATAGTCAGTCCAGTGCCTTTGCTAAATGGGTCTTAACAAAAATAAAAAGGATTCAAATGCATGCTACACAACAAAAATTAGGAATAAAAAATTTAGTATACGTCATTTTTGGTTGCTATCTTAATGTCAGACTGAATATGGCTCGACATATTTTTACCTCACGAAATGTGGCCCTCCTTGCGAAAAGTCTGGACATCCCTACTCTAATTGGACATGAACCAAGTGGGCTGCAAACCGGAGTTCGCCTGGCCCCCACTTGAGTACCCTGATTGCTTACAGACGCAACAGTTGAAACAAGGAAGGTGGTGAAAACATATAGATATGCTTATTTTTGTCTTATGCAACGCCAGACAACTGCTTACGTACGTGTGGTATGCAGGTTCCCGCAGAGGTATCCTTTGGAATCGCTAAAGGCATATATATATATATATATATATATATATATATATATATATATATATATATATATATATATATATAATGTTCCCACATCCAAGTTCCCGCGGGGGACAATCAAGCAATGAGCGGGCATTCGCCAAGGATTAACAGAATGCGGTCACACTATAGTGACACGCATCGCATTAACTGTCATGACTCGTAGATTCACCTAAGTACGGTAGAAATGCGTGTCCAAGGAGTGCGGACATACGCAGGATTAATAAGGATTCACTATTAGCGCACCTCCAGGAATCCATAGTAGCCGCAGGTTAAGTTTTGAAAATGGTTGGAGGACATGGTCCATATGTAGGCGCAGCCGCTTCGTAGATGTTCGCAACCATAACGAAAAGCAAATCCTAGGAACAATGAGGCCAAAGTTGCGCTGCCAGTGAGTCGGGATGCGCAACTATCATCAGAAGCATACTCTGTACTTGATGTAAATCGTTTTCCTCGTGACAATTAGGATCGATTTTAGCTGAAGCAAAAATGCTGATGGCCGTTTCGAGTGAGACGGATTCTCCTTCTAGTTGTAATACTCGAAAGGACCGTCGGGATCTCATCAATGCCAAAGCCAACGTAACCAACTGTAAGGCCAAGTAGGTGGAAGGACCAAAGCGTTTAAAACACAGTCCATTTCGGTCACATGAAAAGGATTGTTGATAAAATGAGGAGGAACCCTCCAAGTGGCTGGTGAAAAAAAGAGATACCAGATTTTCCAAAATGACAAAACAGATGAGCTGTTGCCCCATCACAACTATCCGTCAACAGAGCCTACAGAGTGATCAACGGATCAAGAGCTTATTGATTACATCGTCTCAGGTACTGTGGTTTTGATAGACTAATTTGATTCACTAACCCAACGATCCCACTAACGTCACCGCGGTCAACAATTTTCTGGTGGTTAATGTAGGTGCTGATCCGGAAGCGAAACTGATCGAGCGATCAGCAGGTTTGGCAGGTAACTTAAAATTTATGCAGATCATACCTTTTAAGAAATATTTGATGAACAAAATTGATCGTGCAGTTATGCAATGACAAGTAAGCAACAGCCGATAGATTGTACTAGTGTACACATTCATCGTTTATTCATCGTTTAGAAGAAGCACAAAAGCTGTATCAGCAAAAAGGTAAGACAAAGATTGACCATAGTACGGGTTACGAGACCGGGTCTCATATATAGAATATTAAGAAGTTAACATACCACTCGTTGAGGGGGACGAGGATGTGACCGAGGAGCAGGTACGTGCAGTTGAAGAGGGAATATGTCGTTCTCTGAAGAACCTTGATGTGCTGTTCATTCCAAGGCGACGAGCAGCCGTAGAACCGTCTCCCTGACGTAAACCGACAGGTGTGGTATCTGCCTCTTGAGAGTCAGATACATTAGGAACATGAGTGTACTTTGCCGGAAGACCACCAGCATTGCGTACAGTATCACCAACGCGCAGAGAATCGTTCCAGTTACTGTAAGGAGTGGTTGTTGGATCGCCGCTCATATCCAGGAAAGTCACGAGCACTATTTCACCCATAAGCCGGAAGATTGAACCTTAAAAGAATATTAGTCAAGACTATCAGATACGGTTAAACGTAAAAGGGTAAAACAATCGGAGGTAGTTGAGATCGTGAGTCAGAGAGTCGTATAGGCTAGCGAGCAAGAGCCTTGACAATTCCGAAGTTGTTCGCTTTTAACACTGAACTGCCTTACTGGATTCGTCTTTCGATAAGTCACTAGGCAGAATAGGTTCAAGATTACAATGCCGACAACAGTGGCTTCTTGAGTTGGTCGGACAATAACGGAGTGCAGACAAATCTTTGTTCTCATAACAATGCTAGTGGAAGCAACCGGTTCCACGGTACACGCGAAACCAGTGGTTGTTCAGTGAGTCATTTAAGGGAGTAAAACTATTTTGATACATTTGGCATCCAGATCGACCTAAGTCTCAAAACTGAAGCCCCTAGCTATAAAGCGTACAGTAACCAAGATAAGCGGTGAAGATCTAACTTATTAGAATTCCAATAGAGAATGTACCTTACAATACAACATAATTATGCACACAGTCATACAAGAACGCGACACAATCAGGTGGTAGGGATGATTGAATCTATCGCGAGCGAGATGCTTAGTTCGATTGATTCGTTTCCTGAATAACAAACACCAAACAGAATACACGCACTGTGCAGGAAAGTGTATGTCTGAGGGAAGCCACCAATGAAAATATCTAGTAGAATTTGCGTGAAAATCGGTATAGCTGAGGTCATAATAAATAGGCACCAAAAATAGTGATGTAAAGCTCGAGCAACTCACCTATTGGAGAGAGGGTATATGTCAAGTGGGTGGATCGCGTTTCGAGTGCGCCTAAGCTGAATACGATCGTATTACCGCGTGTGGTGCCTATCCACACACAAGGTCCGCAATTATAATCTGTATGGGGGGATCAGAATAAAAAGTTGGAACACGTAGTGAGAAATTTTCGTACAAAAAACACAAAAAACATGGAGGAAAATTTAATTTTACGTTGGTATAATCTACTAACAAACAAATTACAGATGGCGTCCGGCGCAATGCAGACTCACATCTGCATTAGTGACAGTTAAAAACAGTTGCAGATGATAGGCTGGTAGTTAACTTTGAACAAGGAACAAATGGAACTTGTCAGCGGTGAGCATTCGCCGATATCCTCCAGCAAGGGAGCCCATGGGACTCCTCGATACCAGCCGCCAAAACACAAGACCATAGGTGACGGCAGCAGACCACCCTCGATTACATGTTAATTATGACCTAATGAGCTTCAATCTCAAGCTTTGCGAAATACCAAGTTTGCTGAGAGTAAAAGAATTCCGAATATCTTACCCTGTGAGGAGTTCGTCCCACTTAATGATTACGATCAAAAATCACGCAACCCACACCTTGCATCAACCAAACGTTTGTGTGATCTGGAACTCAATCCTGATTCCGACTACACGATTTCCCGATTGATTGCATTCATAGTGCAATTGAATAGCTCCCTGAGGCTCTGATTTGCATCCGCAAGCCGATTGAATATCATGTTTAACGCATTTGAATTGCATCCAGTTTCGTTTCGACGCACCAAGCGCGCACAGTGACCTTGGAATTGAGCTAATCCAAAGCAGCCAATGACGGTAGGTGTAATAACCCTGGGATGAATGAAAGAGTTGGTGGTGTGTGACGGGGACACGTGGGTGTTCTACCCTCCATCCAGCAACGATGCCTAATATGAAGCTAGTTGCATGCAGCTTAGGGACACAAGGTTGTCCAAACACGTGGTGTGACTGGATGGAGGGTTCGGTGTGCGTAAGTGGACTACCATGTATGTAAAGCATGTCTTGCGAACGGCGCAAGTTGGGATTGGGGGCTGCGAACCAGGTAATGCGACACCCCATTAGCGATCTTATTGCTAGTTTGGCACTGGTGCAGCCCAAGGTTTTGGACGACCTAGCAACGCTCGGGCATACGACGGTAGTGTGTCCGGATAGCGAGGCAATCACAGGTACAAGGCTGCGTATGACGAGGACGGTGTGACGGGCTTGCGAGTAGAGCAACAAAAGGGGCCTGCGCAACCGAAATACAGGTTGGAAGGTGGCTGCCTTGGGTTATAGAGAGTCGTCTTGACCGGTGGTCTGCTGAGAGGGCTAGTGCCAAAATACAAGCGTGGCAATTTTGTTACAAGGCGAGTAGGCCCTGCTTTGTTACGGCAGGCGTCGCTTGCCCTCATGGGGATGCAGTACACTGACTTGATGGTTCCCGAATCAAGTGAGATACTGCGACAGGGCTGTCGGAATTTTGCATCGACTGGTCTGTACGCACATGCATGGGCGAACTGGTGCGGACCGAAAGTAAGGGCAAATGACATGTAAGTCGGTGCGCATCAACTGAATTCGTATCCCGTACGAAGTTTAGTGGTCTGATCACACATGGGAATCACTCCATCGTTGCTCGGCATCTTTGTCTGTCCATTTCCCTGCTTCTTCTCCAGCAAAGGTATTTGGTCGACACAGCATATAGGCGAGCAACACCTCAGTTTCTTCCTACAGTAGTTGTACCTGCAAAGCCCACAATTCCGCGAGGACCATAATACTCTATTTCGTACCTAGCGGCCTGTGAACACGTAGTCCACAATCGCAGATGGCAGTACAAAGGTATATAACGGATCAAGTAGATAACGCTTGACATGTCCGTAGGATGGCCGTAATGAAGAGAGAAAGAGTAAATAATGAACGTACCAATAAAAATAAGTGTGACATGGTGATTTAGCAATTTACATGGTAACTGGTATAAGTCCAGTTAGCTACAAGTAATCGCTCGCCATAATTTGCATCTATGGCACGAAGCGGAAAATTCGGAAACATGAGTTTATACATGAAATTCTCTTATACTTCCAAATAAGAACATCAGAAGACCAAGGTCGTGCGATGACACTGTTAGGACGACCTATCAGCGCTCGGGCAGGTTCGGTGTGTCCGGACATCAAGACAGTCACAGGTGTACGACTGCGAATGATCGGGGTCTGGGGTGACAAAATTGCATGGCGTGCTTGTGAACAAAGCGATCTAAGTGGTCTACGCAACTTGCCACCTAAATGGGTTGACAGTTAGTCACTTGGGTAAGAGAAAAACATCATGGGCAGCACTCTGCTGAGAGGGCCAATGCCGTGATACGACTGCTATAATCTTATTTTTAGGCGTGTATGTAACGAAAGACACGTGCACCGTAAGCCGAAAGTAGTACCCCATGGCATCTAGACCAAAGTAAAGGTGAAGCACTGCACTTGCCAAAGGGTGCTTACGTTGGAGGGGTAGAGGGGTGATTAATGTGTAGGCGATCGCGATGGCGTCTACTTTGGTCGCTTGAGTGGTACATATTCTATGAACGCTGCACTGCTAGCAATTAACGAACGACTCATGATGTACCGCATACATTGGCACAACTTAGACACTGAAGCGAACGTAGTCGATCGCATAGCCTTCTACAAAGCTTGACAATAAGCGATAAACATCTATTTTGCGTCCCGAGATGGATCAGTGACTTACCACCGACACGTTGTCTTAGCGTACATCCCAGTGTCTGTCCTCACGGGGCGATATGTAACCTATGGCACTATGCAACTCCAAGATTTCCGCAATAATGCTTAACCCAATGATCAACAGAATGACTTACTTTCTTGCGCACAGTATTCCTCTTCGTAATGCTAACTACGTACCATCACCTCGCGACACTACAGTACGTTGCAACACATGATCTCTCATAATTAGCAGCAATGTAGTCTTGATTACCAGGAATCATTCGGATACCCACTGGTTGTCTCGCAACGCTTAGCGCGGAAACATGCGGGAACTCGCTGCGAAACCATTTAGCATAAACACCATCGTTCATACCTGCATGCCGAATCAATGGCTTTGCGATGCATGGCATTGATAACACCAGACCAAATTAGCTACAGTTATTTCAACAAAGTGGGAGCAAGTTGCAAATCAGTACAATGCATTGCACGAGCGTAATTCCTCCTCACATGATCTATCATATTCCGACAGTGCTGAGAAGTCACGCAGGTTCATGCCTTTGACACAAATCGCTCCATGAATCATATGCTCCCCTCGGCCTGGTAAAGTACATACTTAGGATCTCGCTGAAGAATCTCGGAATATCTCAGCCTTAAAGCTCATTTCATATATGTTTTTATAATGCTCCACATGCTCTAAATTGTGTTGTGATAGAGAATGCGGAGGAAGGCGCAGGCTGCCCGAACGGTACGACTACGGCTTGCATACGTGTTCCAGATTCGTGTGGCATGGCGCGTTATCGCAGATTAGGAGGCAGTTTCCGACAAAAGTCGAACCCCTGGTATCCAACAGTCCACGCAAGCAATGCGCATATCCTTCGTTGTTGTAACTTCCTCTCACGATAGAAGACTCTATCAAGCCGTCGGTCGTCAGGCCTCCTATAGTATAAAGCTTCCGTCCTTAAATGTTGGGCACTTGACACAGCGCACGGCTTTCACGCGGTGAACGGCCTCTGGTGCAAGCGCAAAAGAGATCACAATTTATTTCATCAATCAACACCGCTCGTCTACCTTCGACTTCCGACTACAGCAGTGCCTAGATATAGTAGCGTCGGGAAGCGTCATTAGTGCGCATTTTATCTGGCCCTTGTAGTGCTGAAACCCACAACTCGACTGTTACCAGTCCGTGGTTAAGACCACTGAGGTGCGATTCCCGAACGGATGAAACTACCGTACAGTGCTTTTCCGAGCGTGAGATGGCCGTCTGAGTGAGTCTAGTTGTTATGAATTTCTACCTTAAATCCCGCTACTACTGTTCTGTACACATAGAATTTTCTTCGCCAATTCGTCATTTATGTGTTCGCGAATTCCGGAACTACGTGCAATTTCTTCGTTATCAGCTTCCCGTCCAAGTGTCGCGCTATGGCGCTAACGCTCGCCTCAAGCATCAACACAGCTTTCAACCGCAGGTGGAGTGTTTGGAGAGTAACCGTGAGTTTCGATGATACTCATTCCACGAGACAATGTGGCATTCTGCCAGAGATCTTTGTTGCCTCCACCATGCATTACACTTGGTTCGATTGATTCCATCCATACGTAACCAACTGCGGCCAGTTTTCGGGTTGACGTTTAGTATACATGTAAGTTACTCCCAATTGTTTGCCTCCTTATAAGTCTTCAGTATTCTGCTGTTGACCACCGCTGTGGCGTGTTTACGGGTGCTTTTTGTGCCATTCTGAGTACAGCAAGCTGGAAGTCATCTGGCTGCTTTACATATATACGTGTTTGCGCAAGCTTTGAAATTTAGGACCGCGCTGAACCGACCAATTACCGCCGGATAACTCTTCTCCCAGTTCTTTCCAAAAGTATGTACTCCTCTAGTATAGAGGCCATCATGGGATACTTGGAAAATACAGTAGCATCGTACCGGAGCAACAAGGTTTCCGCCGAAACCACTCATGTACCAAGAACACCTTATTAACCCGTGCCAGCTGGACGGAATCTATCGATCCTGAGGAGGGATTTGACGATGTGTACCACGATTTCTCAAAAGCATTTGATCATCTTGATTACAATGTCCTCTTTCTCAAGTTTCAAAGCTGGGGGATCAGTGATCCCATTCTGGGTCGGATACGTACATTCCTGTTTCGATGTCGCATAACTCTGAGAGTTCGTAGCGCCTTCTGTGACCCGATAAAGGTGCGATATGGCGCTCCACAAGGCTCGGCTTTAAAACGAAGGCTTATCCACGTCTTAATTAACGGACAGGTGAAAGTGATGGATTCAAACGTTTTACTCTTCGTGGTAGATCCCAAACCAGGATGGTAAACGACCACATGACACTACAAGGTGATCTCGACAGGGCTCACGATTAGTCAGTTCAGAACATGTTTGAATTCAACGCTGCCAAATTTCGAGTACTGGCATACGCCACCAGAGAACTTACGCATACTAGCTGGGAGAACAACTTTCGCAACGCGTCTCCCATGAAAATGATCTTGCAGTGGTCACGCAGGCCGATTTCGGTTTCTTAAAACAGGCCGAAAATTCAGCAAGAAAAGCCAAGAAGCACTTGGGTCTCTTGCGGACAGCGTTTGGCCGGTTTGACCCTACTATCATTTTACAAATGCTCAACGCTTACATGTTGAATACACCATTCACGTCTGACACCCATAGCAACAGCATGATCTTGTTGCTCTTGCGACTCCACAAAGTGCAGCAACAATATATGTTAAGGGCCTGACTCATCTCCCTTACCAGCATAGACTACAGACCCTAGGCGTTTTCGGTGGTCAATACCGTCGTGTGCGCGGTGACCTTATTTTGATGTTTCAGATCCTAAAGGATCCAAGCCACGCATATCGGCAGTTAATGAAAATAAGTCACAACTCCTCATTTTGAGGCCATCACTTGAAGTTAGCCACATAGTACAGCCAGTTGGAATGCCGCCGGCATTTTTTCCCACTTGGTGTGTCTCAGTGATAGAACGCTTACCCGATTTCTGTCATCTCCACTTATGCATTGACTGAATTCGAAACTCAACTTGATGGAACATTACCACATATGCATTACAAGGCTTAACCAATGTCGCTGAGACACATCACAACATAACCAAACTACGTACACCAGTGAAATTTCGGTGACTTCACCGATATGTGCTACTTTCGTTTTTCTTAGTTCGTAGAAAGTAGAAGTCACGACTAAAATTTACACACAATAATGTGCCTCGACGGGGAATCGAACCCCGGTCCAACGATTTTCCGGTCCGCTGCTCTACCACTGAGCTACCGAGGGCTGACGATTAAGTGCGCAAATTTTAATACATGAATTCTGCATGGTGCGCGACGTATTGCCAATGAGCTCACAGTATCTGCCCTGGTGTTGCAGATTGGCTCACTCACCCGTCACTTCCCAATGGACCGAAGTATCTGTCCTTCGGATGTCTAAAGGGCGATGGTAGATTAATTGTGGATGTTTGTGAGTAGTGTAAAGTTCGTAAACTTGTCCCTAGTGTAGTTAGAGACCAACGTTTTGTGTTCAACACGAAAGCTTCTTCAGGTCATGCGAACGACGAGGAAAATAATTGCGGTTATCGAGATGGCAGTATGATGTTAGCCACCTTACAGGTCAAAGTGTTATTTTAAGTGGCACATTAGAGATGGTAAGATCCTAGGTGGTTCATTGTATGAGGTCATCACACTAAACCTCTGTTTTCTACGTCAGTAGGAGTGCTTCGATGTTGGCGCTCTGCCCTAGGCCAGTCCGCCAACGCCCGTCAGACTGGCCGGTTGAGACAGCTCGCCACACACTGGACAACTACACAACGCAGTCTACATGACCAAATATCCGAGATGACGTCATCGAGAGAGAGTGTGTCAATGGATCCAACAGAAGAACTGTGCGTGTACTCGTTTCCATCCACGTATTCAATCACAAGGGCTCTAGAAGATTTTCAAGTTCAAAAAAACTGTGCTCACGAAGTCGGATAGCATTCACGGTGGTTGGCCACAGCTGGTCGCGTGCACTGTTTTTAATGGCAACAATTAACAGTCTACATGACCAAATATCCGAGATGACGTCATCGAGGGAGAGTGCTTGGAATAAAGTGCAGCCGGACCTAGCACACAGGAATGAACAGCGGGTTTGCGAAAGCACAAAAAGTAACACATTTAAAGCCAAGTTGCATCATCGGTCGTAGTGCTGACACAGATTAATTAGTGGTTGTGGTAGAAGTCCATTTTAATTATGCCGACACTTACTGATTCAATTACTCAGCGCTTTTCTAATACCATACTGATGCTGTGCATGTGAATGACGACGGTCAGATGGTATTTTCTGTCCGTAAGTGTTAATTGTGCATACTTAAATTGGCACTGTTGAGCTGACAAACCGGGTGCTCCGAAGAGTTAAGTCGAGAAATGCTCTGTCGTTAGTGTAAAACCAGAAATGAATGCCCTTATTGAACCAGTTACATGATTACCTAGGTCATCACTTCGCTGTACACAACAGTGGATAGAAATTCCACCTATAGGCAAAATAGCGACCAGTTAACGCACACAATTAGACGAAGTAAAGTAAAGGCAAGATTAAGGCAGTCTTAAAAGAGAAAAGAAAAGCGATCAAGATATTGATTTGGCTGAAGTACTATTCAACGAAATCACTATAGAGCACTGACAACTGAACGCTTATATACAAGTAGCAACATGTGGAAAAGTTAGGGAAGGAGAAAAAAGAGAGCACAAAGAATTAAGGTAGTGGAGAGAGATGACCAGCTATGAACGCGTGGACCGATTGGCCAAGATTTGTAATGTAGCCTAACGAGTCGAAAAGAAATCGAGTAAGAAATTTACATCTCTTACACAATGCAAGACTATTTCATAGCACCTACATCTTCTTTAAATACCATGTCGTTGGGACAACGACTGTTGGGTGTCAGGTAACTACGAACAACATAACCCCAAATTAGGTGCGCCTGATAATCCATGCAAGACTGATGTTGTTGATGGAAATTTGAACCCAGATTAAGGAATGACAGCATAATCATTCGTATTGCAAACAGCGCTTGCCACCACAAAACTACTAGCTAGTGAGGAGGGGGTGTAATACTGGCTAGTTGCTAGGCAATTTAGCAATGTAGTGAGGTGTTAGTGAAATGGGAGCTAATCCTTCTGGGCTATGATACGTGAAATCCCGAGTTAAGAATCACAGGATAAAAAGGACAAAAATAGCATTCCAAAATGAAACTAGTATGCAATGCCAACGCAGACCGATGGCTAAAGGTGTGGAGAACTCGCACAATAGATACCAGGTAGGTAATGAGAGTACTTGGATATAACTCACCGCCTTTGCGGGCATAGGAATCAGCAAACACGATGCAGCGGATCCCCTCAATGCCCATTTGTTCCAATGAACTGGTACTGGTGCTTAGACTGCATGACTGAGAACCAAGTCCGGATTCCCCACACTTTTCTATAACATTTGAGAGCAGACAGTAGGATAGTCGTCAATACTAAGAAATTCAGCGGACAGAAAAACACTGCAAACAGGAGAATGCTGATGGTGATAAAATGTGTGAAGAGAGTGCGTAAAACGCAAGCAAAACATAGGCAAAGAAGAGCGCCATTAGAGACAGCATCCTGGGAGATAGAAAAGAATAGCAGTGAGTTAGTACGAGGCAAAAGGCATCAACGAAGACAAACAGGAATACTGCTGTGTGTGTTGAAGGAACGTGGGCCGGGTCCGTGGATGAAACGTGGCTCGAATGCACATGCCTCTCGGTCTTAATCCTTAGGGTTTACACCGGATATGGGGTGTGTGGATAAAGCTGTGGATGGTGCAATGTAAGCCACCCATGGTCCCTCTGTAGGTTCAGTCGTTCTGTGGCTGTCCTACTGAGGCCGAAGTGACAAGCAAATCCGGGTCGGATGCCACCAAGCATATAGGCGGAAGAGCCCATGGTTTGTAGTGACGTGGTTCTGACACCAATGAACAGCTGCGACTTTCTGTCACAACGAGAGTGGACCTTAACGTGGTGCGAGGTTCTGCGTACCTCGCCGACCCATTAGGCTATACTAGGTGGGGCCGTCGGGCCTATCGACAGCTACTTCTACCAGGTTGCTCAATGGTTAGAGGCCTTACGGACTCGGTCTCCTGGTCCTCCAAGTTGAAAATTGGAAATGAGATGGCATCCAGTTCTGTAAAACCAAATAATTGACATCTGCCCGCCGCTCTGCTTACAGACCTATGAGGCAAAAGTTTTGGAGGCGTATTAAGCGTCTCAGCTGATTGGTAACTGAGAAGCTATCTCAGTTCTCGGTCAAGCAAATCTATCAGGATGCCCTGCGTACCAAACTTTCGTTCTCTCGTGCTAATGATACCGAGCTTCAATGAAAAAGGATCTAGGCCGCCATGCACAATGCGGGATCCTTTGCTTGCGGCACGACCAATCGTTACTGCACCAGTCACTAGATATCCGAGAGGTCGGTGAATCTATTGGGATCCAGAAGAAAACTCCCAAATAGATATGAGCCCAATGTAACTAGGCGGATTACTAGGAGCGGAATAAAACGGAGCTTGCACGTTGACAAAGAAGCCTGGTAGACTAGTCAGGCTGGAGAAATGGAGGAAACAGGAGCAGTAGGCAATTATCGCATGTTCTCCCGACTGATCCGTACCACTGGTCTCATGAAACAAAAAGTCCGTGAAACAATCAGAGACATAGCGCGTGCCATGATTCACAATAAGGAGCGCGGTATCGCTCGTTGGGCAAAGCATTTTTAAGGCCAATTCAGTTGGGCTCCTTGCCCATGGACCGCTTACTATTCAGGCGATGCAGGCTGAGCCATGACCGGTTAGTTTGGAGGCTCCGTCAGAGACTGAGGTCCGAAACGTGATCGCAGCCGTTAATGGTTTCAAGCTGCTGGCCCGGATTCCCTCACACCCGCACTATCTAAGGATCGTGGGGAGTTCCTCTGCAAAGTATTGACCGCTCTGGAAGGAAGAGACCTTCCCAGCTAACGAGCGAATCGATTATAATGGCAATATATAAGATGGACAATCACACCGACTGTGCTAACCACAGGGGTATTAGCCTAACCCTAGTGGTGACAAAATCAAAATTCCAATTCGTCGCCTCAATGCGGAACAGGAATCCCAGGTTAGGAAACAGCAAACAGGCTTCCGCCCAGGAGGGGGCTGTATAGATCACAATTAACTTGGCAGCAGGTGCTAGAGCAGTGCCACGCACACCGCAGACCGACAATAGCTGTGTTGCTGGACTTCAAGAGTGCATTAAATGCAAGCAATCGATCCATTCTGTTTGAGATAGTCGGGCGGAAAGGTATTCCAATGAAATAAGTGAACATATTACGTGCCCTGTACTTGAACACCATAGGCCACGTCAGGGTCTACGGTGACGTATCTTCCCAACAATATGTGGCGTTCGTCAGGGTTGTCCAATTGCCCATGTTTGTTCCGTTTCGTCTTTGGCTTTATCATGGAGTGTTCCCTTGCAGAATATACGATGCAGGCATTGAGATGCCGCTTGGTGGAAGGCTAGTTGATCTCGATTGTGCAGCCGATATTGCCTTGATGCTGGGGCGGCGCAATCAACCCTGAGTAACCTTTCTAGAGTGGTCCCATTATTTGACATGCGCTTCGCACATTCACAGTGCAAAGTGTTGTTGCAGGACCACCGGCTACTTGATGATCTCTTGACACTTGATAGAGAGCTGCATCAGCACTGAATTTGATTCAAGTATTGCTAAAACTAGAACTGCAACACGTTTGGCGTCAGAAGGGGGTTTCCCTCAACCTGAAACGCAGCGTATAAAAGGCCATAGTGAGGGCCGTCCTACTTTACGGGAGTGAGACTTGACCCCCTAGTCTGAGGCGTCTTCAAGTCTTTGATCACCGTTGTCTGTGAGGCATTGCTAGTGCCAAATGACACCAGCGTGTCCGCAATGATAATGGTCCTATAAGAGTGCTAGTTCATTAGAACAACAGATAGTACTGCAAAGGTTTCGTTGACTTGGGCAGGTAATACGTATGTCCGGCCACCGCTTGCCAAGGAGTATCTTGTTTTGTCCTCCAAATGTAGGGTGGCGCAAGGCTCGAGGTGGACAAAAGTGGACTGACGAACAAACTAGATGCCGTCCGTTCGTCCGTCTCGCCTTCCAGGCTGGAGTCCACGTGACCTGCCTTGTGCTTAGCTCGAGACTTTACAGAACATGATACGCAGTCGGTGCCAGTGGCGTGTCTGCTGTTTCTCGTAGCCAAACTGCCGGTTCAAAGTGTGTTTGGTGTTCAATTATCTGCGGGGCAATGGCTGGTTACGATGCACGACAGTGAAAACCGCAAGAGAGCTGTCTCGCCGATGTCGCCTTATCTTTACACGATAGCCAGCTGTTTGTGATGGTATGTTATTGACAAGGTGTAGGCGCGTTGAACATGAATGTTTGTTTATGGCATTAAGGTTTTATACTAGATCCCCGTTCTATTTCTCTTAGCATTCCTCACACCATAGGCCATTGTTGCCGTGCGGCAACGAAGCAACAGTTCAAATGGCTGATGCACTGCTACTGATTACGATGATGTGGGTTTACTCGTAGTATACCATATCAAATGCCAAGTATTCTCCACAGAAGTAGAGGAGATCTCAGTTGTTCATTGTTGTCGCAGATGGCAAGTTGGTTGCAAACTTCTCATCACAAATCGTGGTGACATAATCAGTGCAGAGTTGACTGCAGCTTGGTCGTGAAAGTCGTAGCAGGCACATCCGGGAGTGAGAGAAAATCTCATGCTACATCGGCCGTAAGGTAATGGGAAAAAGGTTTGCCTTATCTGCAGTATACAGTTGGGTGAATAACGGAAAATCTGCCACCACTCCCGCCTCCCCTCGTTTTTCTTTCCCTTGCCCTTAACATTCGCCCCTCCAGTTCATCGTCTAAGGGACCCTACCGACTCCAACTATAGTTTCAACATGCATCCCAACCCCCTGATTTTCCAGCGCAATAGTATGTCTTCGCACAAATGGATCAATATCGAATGCTAGAACGTGTGCACATTCATGTATCGGAACAAGAACCGGGACCCCACGCAGCGCACTGCGCTGATCGTCATGGAACGCCGGCGCTACAGTATCTACATTACCCCATTCAGATTCCGCTGAGTGACCAGGGCAAGCTGCACGAAGGTGGTCCTGGCTACACTTCCTATTGGGGGAAGGGGAACGCCACCACAATACCACATGAACTTGGTGTCGGATTTGCACTATCCGACAGCGTAAATGGTTTGGATTCTGGGAGAGCCGAGTGGCACCAGTCTAAGGTTGATGACACTTCGTCTATACTACGGCTGAGTAAGTTTGCAAATTTTATTACCACCATGGTCCCACCATATGTTGTTCTGTTAACGCAAAGGATCATCTGTCCCATCCTCTCCCCGCGCGATGCGGTCGGTAGAAAGTAGCGACCGACCATCCCTACATAATTATTTCAAAGCGTGTGTTTCGTGTGATAGCACTGTGCGAGCAAAGGTAATCGGGTCGCATATTGTCCTAATCAATGGGAGCTGTGGTAGCCTGTTCACAACGAGTGCCACTTACGACCTGACGATCATAAACACAGTTCGCAGTGGGTGCGAGTGATAGTGATAGTTGGACTCACCCACGGAGTGGTCACGCTTGACTGCTCGACGGTGTCACCTGACGCCAGTGATAAGTGTGCGCATGATGCACTGTGTGTAACGGAGTGTGGTAGTGAGCAAACGTTGGTGTGCCTCAAATAGTATTTCAGTAAATTCATGTATCGTTTCTGCCGTTAATCGACAACAACATGTTCATTTCCTAGGTGCTGTTGAACGGTGACAAGAGCTAGAAGGTGAAATGGCTTGGCAACGCAGAGTTCATGACAATAGTAAGTGACCTATGGCACAACCACTGACTGAGACGACCGGAAGGGCAAATCTGAGCAGTCAAATTGGTTTGATGACAACAGTGCGACTATTGGCGCAATGGTGTCTGATAAAACGCACATGAGAAAAAATCTCGAGAATGCGTAGAATAGGTTCGTTTCGCAAGATGCGTTCACATCTGACGTAGGAGGTCCGTCGCATGAAGAATGCATGGTGGACTAAGAAGATGGAGCCAATGGAACGCTATGCAAAACACCGCCAGCATAAAAGACTTGCATGATTTTTGAAGTCAGTGAATGGACCCAAATTGAAGCCGATGAGAACGCTACTGTGTATTGTTTTATACGTCGCTAACGTACAGCCGACCTGTAGTCTAAAGGTAACGAGCTTGTCTTGTAATCTGGTGACGCGGAATCGAGCCTGCGTAGGGGCACGGCGACCATCGCAGTATCCTTAGCTCACGTGCGACCGGTGGTGGTTGCGTGGAAGCGAAGCGTCGGTCCTAGGTACCCGTGTACTGCAGGTGCCTTCGCTAACGTACAGATATGCAATTATCATGTGCGAGTATCACGACCACGGGCTGCAACAACACGGGCACGGGCTGCAACAACAAAGAAAAGCGGACATGCCGTGACCCCATGAGAGGCATAGGGCAGTTGTTCAGTAGTGGAAAGATAGGCATGCCGGTGGCGATAGAAAACCGTCAGAAGCACTAAAAAGTGGTGGACCCTGGAGGATGCATTTGCTGAAGTATTTGCAGAACAGAATGTTATTGTGTTAAGAGCAATGCAAGCAAGTAATCTACCCATCTACTAGAGGTTATCGTAGCCTCGACTTGTGAGAATGCGGTAGTAAAGATGATTTTCAGGATTCTGTTCAATCTTCTCATTACTTGCGTCCTTGAGACAAGCGTGGTTGAATAGTAGCGAGGCTTTCGCGTGAGGTGTACTATAAATGGCATGGTGCTCCCGGTTCGTCAACCATAGAATTGGCAATATAAGTTTCCAGAGCCACCGATCGCTACTTTGAAGGTAGAGCGTTCGAGTATTTGATAGAGATTAAACTAATCCCAGATGTAAACAATTTAGTCCATAAAGCAACAAAAATAGTCCACGAACAAGCAGGTTGCATCCACCAGCACACACAGGGGCTCAACTGCGTTCCAACCGAAGGGTAAGTAATCCCCATCGATCAAGTGGGTGTGCGATGCGTGTATACTTTATCGTGAAAGCACGCATGTTGCGTGAGGGTATGGAGTATGCTCTTGAGCCCAGCCATACTTGCAAGCATTGCTCCCAGTGGGTTTGCACACCGATTACACGCTAGCGATGTGAACTTTGTTGCGCGTTGATACATAAAGGGAGCAAACAGCCGTGGCACCGAAGCTGGGAACATATTTGATTCACATCACGGACACAGCAGTAGCAAAGCTGGTGCAGACAGCTGCTAACCACTATTCACTGGGAACGCATGATATCAGTCACAATGCACACGGCGTATTGAGGGAGGAGGACACTGCCGATTATAGTTACATGGCCCGTGTCACGTGTGAATGTGTGTACATTATCGGCCCAACAGATGAGATCACCGCAACGTGCGGCGCTGGGATTCACTCCGAGCCAATTGGATGGCATTTCAAATTAAGTGATTGACCTCCGGAATTGGTGCTGAGTTTTGTGATAAGAAAAGATGTAAGGACCTTGTTTCCAAACAGAAACGTAAGCAATGAGTTCTGAGCAAACAACTGTTTTCGATCTATTTGTCATCGGACTAAATACAGAAACAAACGGTGGCAACTGTTAAAATAAGTCACGGGTACAAAAGCTAACAATTGATCGGACAGTTTGAAACGTCAGCATCGATGGGCGTCGACAGTTCACGAGATGGAAGGTACGTGGGGTTGCTAAGTTGGGCAGAACTTCTATCCTTTGGCTGATGGCTATGGCAACTGTAAGGCTTGTGTTGTGTGGCCACTGACCGTTCGGATAACCGATGCAGGCACTCGGGTCACGATACAGCCACTTCCCAAATCAGAAGACAAAGGCCACTGGCGGAAATTGTATGAGGTCAAAATAAATAGTTCATGAGAGAAAGACCTGATTGAAAGTTCCTGACTATAGCGACTACTAGATGCGCAAAAAACTCGATTGTTGGCTGTTCAAGTAGTGCGCTTATTGGAAGGCTTTAAGGCAGGTCATTCTCATTGGTCCACGTAAAGACAAAACGATGCCATTGGCTTACTCTCATTGGCTAGCCAATCAGCGTTCTTGGGCAAACTGTAATTGATGTATCTGTCGTGCTCCACAGTTTCGAGTTTACGTGGCAGCAGCCGTAGTTTTGAAGCATCATCAAGAGTTGTCAGCACTGTCTTGAAAATATCTTCGTAACGTCTGAAACTTGCGTTGAAAATTAGCTCGGTATAATGACCAAACACAAACACACTGTTTATCATTGCACCAACTGAAGGCTTCTCAGCATCGTGAACGGCCGTAGACTGGAGCTATTGTGTTCAAGTGAGGGTCCCGATCATTCGCAGCAGTGTGGCCTCGAATTGCTGCTGTTGTTGAGGCAAAGCAGCTATCAGATCTTCTACTGAGATTGACAACTTGAATAAGTGCCGCGGCGCCAAATACGGTTGTTTCCGCTGACCGTATGGATAACCGATGCACGCACTCGGGTCACGATACAGCCACTTCCCAAATCAGAAGACAAAGGCCTCTGGCGGAAATTGCATGAAGCACCCAAATAAATAGTTCAAGAGAGAATGACGTGATTGAAAGTTCCTGACTATAGCGACTACTAGATGCGCAAAAACTCGCTTGTTGGCTGTTCAAGTAGTGCGCTTATTGGAGGGGCTTTAAGGCAGGTCATGCTCATTGGGCCACTTCAAGGTAAAACGATGCCATTGTCTTACTCTCATTGGTTATCCAAGCAGCTACAGGCGGCGTACGACCAATCTTCTGCGGGCTGTTTCGGAGAGAGAGCTGGCTTGGAGGGCTACTACGGACGGGTTCCCGTAACAGTTTGGATGTGGTTCTTCTGGACGAATAGGTTTGGTTTTGCCAGTCTAATGCATATCACTTCCACGGTAGCAAGTAACCGCGCTTTCAAGCGATGGTTCTGCTGAGACGGCACTTTGTACATGATCTTAAAAGCGGTGCTTTTATCAAGTTGGTGCCCGGTGTTGATCAGATGGTTGGTTATGACACTTAAACTGGTTCTATCGCGCTGGCTATTGAGCCAATTCCGCAAGTGTTTCGTGATTCTCTTACCTAAGTGCCTGGTCATGCATCCATCGTACCTAGATGCACAGGGGCAAGTAAACTGGTAGATTACCATGGATTGGAGTCGATCAGGCACTTTGTTCTTGAGTCTAGGAACAAATATACAACTTGCTCGTGAAGATAAACTTTAATTGGACCGCAATGAAGGTCAGCTCGCAGGTTCCCACCAATCTTTGTCTAGTCATTATCGGTGAGCGGGGCTACCAAGCAGAACCGACTGCCGGCAAGACGACACACATGCAACAGTGACGACAGCGGCCAGTACGAGATGGACAAAGTACCGAAATTGCGCGCTTTATCTCTCCATGGAACGCAGTTAACCAACTGTCGGGGCCGGATCGCACCGATGTGTGAGCAGATGTGACGGAATCAATTGTATGGAGGCCTGATTCATTTATGGAAGCGTAACCTTTTTAAGGTTCATAAATAAATGTACCTCCTTATACTTATTGGCATCATAGCAAATGCGAGACGCTGCACGTTGTTTTATTACACATAGATTCAGTGTTTAATTGCAGCTCGAATTCGCTGATTAGTATGGAACTGCGACGACAGGAATAGGGCGGATTCCATTCTGTTCAACGATGCACGGCTTGTACAAATGCGATCGGTGGACAAATCAAGGTGATTCGGTCAATGCTGTCAGCGGCATGGCGTGATCGGCTTAGGGTGGCAAAATACAATGGCCGATCACGGAACGACGCACCGCAGAATGTAAGATATGCTCATCACCTTTGATTTTCTGCAATTATATGCGGTCCAAACAAATGTACAGCTATGAATCACCTGTTCCAGGTTGCCTAACCTGACAGCAAGCAGGATGGGTCAACAGTCTGCGTCCATGGCATGCATGCTTTATTGCGTGATCGAGATACCTGTTGCAACGCATCCCCCTCCAACGAAATGTCGACCATAGAGAGTAATAAATGACAACCCATTATTGATCACAGTGTAACTACTATACTGGGTTCAAGGAGTCGTCTGGATCTGCTAGATAACGTTCACGAACCAATGCGCGTATGTACACTCGTAACTGACTGCAAACTAAGGCTTTACGACACAAATTGACCATATTAGTAAATACGTCTCAGTACCAAATAAAGAGCTGATGTTGTGGGATAGCTCGACTGAATTAAAAAGTTACTTAACGTTAAAATTGTGTAGGTGTCGGACTGGGGTGAGCCCAGCAAAACAAGTTAGATAAGCCGCAGTTTAACAGCAATGTGAACGGTGTTTGCCAGAAGAACAGCTCACTGCAGATGAGAAACAAGAAGTTCTGGGTGATCACTGCAAATGTATTAGGTTTCGTGAACACGACAAGCAGGACAAACCTGGAGGATTGGGAGGTAAGTCGCTTAACACACTGATGCCGGAACAAGCTCGCATCACTGACAAGGTGACAAACGAACAAGAGGGGGGGGGGCAACGGGAGAGGCGACAATGGGCGCATGCAGCGAAGTAGTCACACGGCTCAGGTGATTCACAGTTAGATGACAAGTGAACCAGATAAATGGACAACGTGATAAACTGGCGTGTGCTTAATATTCAGAGCTTAAGTTGGAAGTCACTGAATACAATAAGACAGCTGAAGTGGGCCGAGTCGTTATCGGTGAGTGGGGCTACCAAGTAGAACCGACTGCCTGCACCACGACACACATGCAACAGTGACGACAGAGGCCAGTACGAGACGGACACGGTACCAACCTTGCGATTTTGCGCGCTTTAGCTCTCCACGGAAAGCAGTTAACCGACTGCCGGGGCCGGGTCGCACCGATGGATGAGCAGATGAGACGGAATCAACTGTATGAAGGCCTGATTCATTTATGGAAGCCTGATTTTTTATCGCTCCAGATGCGCCGCCGATGATGGAGCTATGCATGCAAGTACTCAACCCAGAAGACTTTAATGGAGAAAGGAAATTATAAACAAGAAAAAATAAGAATCTATGTCAACATGATAGGGAACAGTGATGAAAAGTATAGAAAACACTTACAAGCGGCAGCAAGGGGGCTCAATATTCGCAGATGCTGGAAACTTTCAACTAGTCGTGTGCTGCCCGTCGCGTTCACTAAAAATTGACGGTCAGAACGCTCCGATGAGATAACTTTGAGGTCAGTTATAGTGATTACTGGGAGTTCGAATTTGGACGATCCTGTTGAAGCTAGATGACCGGTAGATAAGGTGAAAGGAAGGTGATGTGAGTTCGCTTTCGATTGCAGTACTAAGCCAAGTGGTAAAGCATTTTCCTGAGGAGCGGCATTTGCGTGTGTACTTGTAGGCGTGGAAATTTGTCGAGATTTGGGACTCGAAATCAGTGTATGACCAGCCGGCGGATCGCGTACGGGGGCATTCGCTATGCCGGTAGGAGGATCGGACCGATTTGGACAAACGGAAGCCCATTCGCAACAACACAAAGCGGAAGGTGCGTCACTTTCTTGCCCAGTAATTTGAGCACTCAAGGGCAGTGCTCTCTCTGGCTCATGTATGGTGGTCTGTTCGGATGACGAAGTGGGGACTTCCGCTGCGTTAACCACCCCAGATTCAACACTTATCTTTAAAGGCTGAGCGCAAGAGACTATTGGTTGTAAATATTGATGCTAGAATGAAGAGAAATGAGGGCGCACACCAGAGAAACACAGTTGGTATTGGACTCAGGACAACAGTTAGCAATACACGAATTCGTAGACCACGACACAAAGGACAAGAGACACAGAGATTACGCAACACTGAACGGAAAAACAACACCGAACACAAAAACTTGATTAGCTTCCGTCCTTGGAGCCACTGAAAGGCAGTCTAAAATAACTATACAAAATACAGTTTGCATTCTGTTTGATCTCTGCAGTGACTGAAAAACAACTAAGCTGGAACAATAAGCTTTTGGGATTCCCTGTGTACAAGTTAGTTACGATAAGACATCAAAAATGTTACCTTGTTTGGTGGCGAAACATCAGTAACCCATTGGTCAAGGTAGGTGAATAGAGCAGCTACACAACACGGAACTCGCCTACCCGTCAACAACACCTGACAAATAAAGTTGAATTTTTCATCACATGTGTACCCATGGCTAGTTTGAGCTTTGGATCAGCCATGTGGTACAGGGGACGAAGCATCACTGTTTGGGAGAAAAGAAGTAGACAGTAACGAGCTACATTTCATCTGTGGAGTCTGCAACAACAGTCTGAATACACCATATCTGACACAGTATACCTAGTCCCGAAGATTCCTTAACTTGGTAAGAATGGTAGCTTAGAAAGAATGATGCTGCATATCGGGTCCCAGTGGAAACAAGCTTTCCGTTTAATTCCCGTGTAGTTGCTCAAGTCTAGGAGTGTAAAAAGAAAATACCAGCACACGAAACTAGATTTTTTCGGCTATCCTCTCAACGAGCAGGCACGCGCTTAATACATGTCTGAGTGAGTATCAAGTGGCATGTTGCATGGAAAGAAGAAGATGGTCGAGCAAGTTACTGACGTGGAGTGGCTGTTGCATATAGAGACAATCATGTCACTCGGTGGCTAAGGCATAGGGATCTCGGCTGTCGTCCCGGGTTTGAGTCGTAGCCCGGCTATCTCTTTGGCTGATGAGTGCAACGGAGCAGGAAACCGGTGCTTGGAGTCCAGTGCGTTGCGTGCGTGCGGGTGGGCAAGATTCATGCCACGAAATGTATTAACTCGCATCAGTGACGGCTTCGTAGGTACCAGCCAAGTAAGAATGGTCGTGTCAGTGTAGTTACCAAGTTTTGTGGATGACGATTCGATAGGGTGAAACAACACCCGCGCCGTTCTTTGGCGCAGTTGTGGCGGCCGTGACAGTGGGCTCCAGCTCTGGTGCCAATGATGGCTCGCAGGCATTGGTTCTGCGGGCAAAGCATAGTATATGCCTGACCGGTGTAGTCAGCATCGGAATATTGCTTACACTGCTCACTGCAGGTTCTTCGTGTCGTGTAGCCATCAGAATCGGTTATTGGTAAAGCAAGGCACCATTTATGCTGTACATAACTGGCGGGCGACATTTGGTCCCTTCCACCGTCTGTCTGTGTTCAATGATCAGCATGTTCTGCTCGAATTAATCGGCTCCTGACCGCCTACTTTGTCCGCCTTGAGTTCTGCTCAAATATACCTGATCTTTGTCTCTGAGCCAAGCGTAAACGTTTTCTCCGCCCGCGGCCGTCCCAGCCAATCCGCTTTGTTGCTGTCCATGACTCAGCTGTGATTTTATTCCTCTAGGCTGAACCGTTGGTGACTTCTCTGTCCGTTCCATTTCACGAGCGATCAATTCGCCACTTGGCTTAAACAATCAACTTCTACCACACTTAGTGTCTTTAGAAAATATTTTACCCTTTGTTTAAATGAACAATTAAACAGGCACCAATGTTGCCTTTCTCTGTTGATGATTTGATTTATCTTCGAAACAATGTACGAAAATAGCTTATGGTTAAATACAGCCACAAGGACAGAATGCTTCCAAAAGGATTATCAAGAAAAGTATGATAAAAAATGAAAAGCATGGTACGGCCTGGCAAGTCGGACCCAAGCGCTATATAGTAAACAAGGCACAAATCCCGCTGATCGTGTCCAGCAACATACGATGACTTATCGGGAAAACTCATAATCTCGTAAGTATTTTGCAGTGAAAAGAACTTATGAACGCAGATTTATTGACGTAAAGGGAAAGTGATTTGGAAACTAATATCCATGATGAAGTTATTACTCACAATAGCTACCGCTACATCAGATGAAACCGCCCAGGTGAGCCCCAGTATCACGGAGGTGCCACCACCTACATAAGGAAAGCTTGGTGTAAATCAGTTGAAAAACTCCAAGAGTACTCAACATCAGTAAGCTATCACTTAAAGAAGTGAAAGACAGGGATTCTGAGCGGTTTCCCAACGGTTGTAATGGGGAACGTGTAGGTAGCTCCAGACACAGCGCTGTCCGGGCGGTAAAAGTTTACAGATAATCTTGCTTTGGAGTTAGTAATTACGACTATTACATTGTAAAGACACATCCCGTTATACAGTAAGGCCAGATATGTTGCGTTCACAAAAAGATTATCTAGGACTGTTACAGGACGCAACTGCACAATAGATAACATCGAAAAATCCGAAACATTAGCCAACTGATTTTTCAGTGAGAGCATCTCGCAGATTATGTAAACTGCTGTTTTGCTCTGTGCTGTACCACTGAGACAATTTATTTGGGAAATGAATGTTCATCTTCATTGCTGAAGCAACAGCGGATAAAAAGGAACAGACTTACAAACATAAGCTAACTGGTCGCGTTAAACGACTAAGCTTGGCCATAAAAGCTGAAATGAAAAAAATTAACACTGTGTACATTCAGACCTTATAAAGCAACCACAGTTGCCGTGACTTATGGAGACTTCTACGATAAGTCTCTAGAAAGAATTCCTTCAGCACACTTAACACCGAGGATGTAGGTAAACTGAAGGCCGAGTTCAGCTCCTCATCACCTAACATCCCCCTGCCTTCTCTCACCATTACTGAGGCACCCACCATATTTGATCCCACAAGTATCTACAAGGAGCACATTAGACTGAAGCCAAAGAAGGCTAGTGGACCGTATGCTCTGTCAGCAATCGTCTTGAAAGAATGCGCAGACGTTATAATGACATGTTTGACCGATTTTAGATTGGCGCTTAACGACTGGTACCATCTCCGACATTTGGAAATCAGCCAGAATAACACAAGTGTCTAAAAGTGGATCTCGGCAATATCATTCAGTTGCGTGCACGTCTGTGCTGCTAAAGGCCTAGGAAAACCTGCTAATTCCCCGATTTTTCACAGGCAATCATGCTGAAGATGTCAAACAGTCCCCCTATCCATTGGATGCCGTTTCTTAGCTGGCACATTCCATTGTGTTCGCGTCGGAGAAGGTATTCAAGAGCCATTCCCATTTCTCGAGTACATCAACATCTTTGGAAGGCACAACATTTTGTCCGGAAATAGCGTCCTCATATGTGTTGTGTGATTCCTTTACAGATCGCACACATCACGCAGCTACGCGGTGGAAAGGTCTCTGCACTCCCAGCCAAGTGAGGTTTTGCAGGGAGAGATCCTGTCCCTTTTACTAGTTTCAGTCTACGTCGAAAACTTGCGACTGCGTATATTCTTCTTCAATGGTTATAATGTTCTTCTGTCATTTCCCCCGGACTTCTTCAGAGATTATATCCATCTTGCCCGTTCGCTAAAATTTAATTCTCGTTGCTCTGGATTAGGGAAAGAACTGTTCTTTGATTCGATCGTTAATAAACATTTCGAAGCATGTAACAACTTTTCAACCAGGATTCTAAATGATCCGTCTCACCCTTTACAAACTATCCTAGCCACGGTCGAAGTTTGCGGTTTTATATCGTCGTACCTCGTCATATCAAAACTACCTACTGCCTTATCTATGAGGCGCATTAATTGACCAAACAGGAATGGAACAGCGCCTGCGTGACGGTAAACTTTTATTGCTGTCAATTTCGATTTTCTCAATGATACTTTGTTGTATCAGTAGCCGCAGTATTATTGTCAAGTTCTGAAAGCTTACTTTGACTTGACTTGAAATATTAGAACCGTACGAGGACAACAAAGGTTTTCGGTGACAAACGCATGCACACAGTCCATTTCTGATGTGATTAACTGTCCGAAATGAGCCAGTGAAAGGGTGGAAGGGAATAGTAAGGGCTGACTGATTGTAGAAAGACTATTTATCGTAATTCACCACCACTTTAACTGGGTTGTAGCAACTGTAATTCATTTCTCACTATCAGAAACACTGCAATCAAAGGAATTGTAAATACATAGGTGCTAACCGTTTGTGTTAATTTAGATGTCCTAACAATTGACCAGACGGTAAGGTTGTCACGCGCAGGGCGTGGCCCTCATTGAATCGAATGTTATTGCTATGCAAATTTTCCCCATATCGTGATGCGAGACGCTGAGCAGTGGCACGTGCTTCTTGTCATCTCACTGCAAGGTAGTGTTGTAGGGATGTGCCGAAACATAAGTGGTTTTGACCAGTTCGGAGCAGACGTATGAATTAACTGATCGGATCACCCATCTAGGACGATTATATTTAACTCAGCTAAGACATTGCTGCTGGCCCAGATAAGGTCCGGGTAGCTTTCGATACAGGAATCACTTGCGGAAACGGCGGGGCATTTGACAACCGGTCTCGGACTGAGCGTGTGACGATGCGGTCCGGTTAATGCCACTATATAATAATAATAATAATAATAAATAATAGTATGAATAATAATATGAATCCTGTACGACTGGTCAGCAGGACCAGCAGTGCGGATTCCGCAAAAGTGACTCGAAAGTTAACGTTACAAGGTCTTAATGGACTGGGCCTCATTCTTCGAACACCTGGCAGACACGGACTTGAATCTGAACTGTTTCTACATGCTATCTCTGGTTAAGCGAAACCGAGAGTAAGTCTGTGGAGGGTATAGTGAAAAGGGAGAACGCAACAGACCGAAAGGCATGATGGAGCTAATAAGTGCCGTTCATCTGGATTGTGGCTTAAAAAAGAGGACAAATTCAGAACTGGTTATTTAACACGACGTGGCTCGACCACGTAGCCACTAGCCCCATGATGCGCGACTTTCTAACCCACTAAACGAAATTTTATACTTTTCCTCATTTGATACCCTACAGGTATGCTTGCAAGATAACTTGCGAATTCAGCTGTTTCAGTTTTGATCTTTGGTGTTTCCTTTTGAACGGCTTGCAAAATGCGAGCATTGAAGAATGTATCAATCGTAATTCGGAGCGAGGAATAATGTCGGCAAGTTTAAGATACCTGAACATAACCAAAAGCCGAGTGTTCTTGTGTGTAAGCAGCTAAGGGCTGAAGGATGTGCATTCAAGTGAGCATTCAGAGACGACGAAAAATGCACGCGCGTATTGCTAAATGAAGATTGTCGAGGATCAGAGAAAATGGGAGGAAAAAAGTGAAACGAGCGAGTGTGTAGAAAATGGCAAAACTAGCGCATGTGATCTGATTGCTCATTTAGGAAGTAAGCGAAAAGATAAGAGGAAGCAATGCAGATTGGTATAATAGAGGGCACTATCCATTGTACGGTCAGAATGATGCCTAGGAGTACAAAGAGCTGTACAGTTGTCCGTGTGCTAGATATGTAACGCAAAACCTGCGAGCTCCAATAGGGGAAACCATTGAAATGATCACCATCAGCAGACAAACGGACAGAAACTTTAAGAACAAGCATTGAAACGAACTTAGAAACAGTGCACAATACACAAAGGAGGTGTAGTATCGTATAACATATGAAACACTTACCTGGTCGGATAGCTTCAAATCACCAAAAGGATTAGCTGAAGAGCGGCCAGCTGATCGATTAGAGACCCGCGGAAGGAAGTCACAGAGCCCTGCAAGGTCAGAAAAAGGTGTCTAAGAGAAAATTCTACGATGATAATGTTGATTGCAAGGGTGTCGGACTGATCGACAAATATGTGGGGGTCCAACGTAGAGCTTTTCAAGTATAGTGACGGTCGGGACGGGCTAAAAATTGGCAACCAGCTGCATCGTTGTACTTCAGCTAACAAGGAGTCAACGCAACAAGCGGTGACTGCAACCCAGTTCGAGACAGGCATTCGACGAGAAAATAATCTAAAAGTTATAGTCCAAAATAGACGAGGGGTGATAAGAGTTGAGCAGAAGAGAACGACAGCATAGGAAACAAGTGTTTCAATTCTGTAACAAGATCGGTGGCAATTCAAAGCCCAACGAATTAAATATATCTAGGCAGGTGCATGGTTTTAATAAGTAAAAAATGCCCAGATGTTATCTGCTTGAATACAATAATCAGAAAGATGAAAGGTGATAAAGAAAAGCCAAACGTGACTTTCGAAAAAACATTACTCAGAAATAGTTTAAGATTAGAGGAGCCACATCTGGTGAAGATGTAGTGTAACCATGAAGCGTTTAGATCAACGTCCATTGCAGACTTGTGCAGCATATAACCTGGTTGATGCAGGAGAGTAGAGTGCGAAACATACCAAAGCAGTATCCTAAGATCAGACACCAAATAACAAACTACAGCGTAATGTACTTATCATTGCCTCAAAACATAAGCAACATGTCACAGACATCGCTTGGTATTCTCAGCGCTCACTGGCCAGGTATCACATCCACAAAGCGACGCTGATCAAACGACAGGTTGGCAAGCCATTCTCCCACAACCAACAAGTTTACATCTTATCGTGATTATTCCTAACACGAAATTAATCATATGATCGATTAGCTATCAATTAATAACAAACGAAGCACATAACAAAAAGTAGCAAAACAAGCGGTGGTTCCAAGTGTGCTATTGCAGCCAAGTGAAGGAAGACTTCACCGCCAACTCCCACGAGTTGTAGATGAAGTAGGCAAATTGGACACCGCCACAACTGTAAGTGATTACAGGGTGAAGGATGGCGGTTGGTTGTTAGAAAATGTCACATCGTTGCTCATGGCTAAGTCAACAGAGGTCGTTCGGTTAATGTACACGGACAACTGGCGGTATGCAAAGATAACTACCACCTACTTCTCTCTAGCATAAGTTAGGGTAAACACGGAGACGATTGGCTAGCTTCGTCAACACACGCCTAGCCAAAAATCAATCACATTGCAACAATCAACAGATGACGGCACAACAACTCAAACTACAGATCACGCACTGAAGATGCCACCTCGAATGGTGGCGAAACGTCTGCAACCAAGTTGCCCAGCTCGGAGAACTCCACAACAACTGAGCAAGCCTCCCGAGCTACCAATATTCCAATTCATTTCGAACTACAGAACACCTTGGCCAATCCACGAAGCTATCAGTTGGGAATTGAAAAGCCTAAGGAATGCAGACAGTACGAAGCCAAGACTGTCTGAAAACCAAAGCATGCTGGCGCCAATGATTCTATACCCATCTTGGAACTTGCGCAAACAGATTTTGACACAGTTCAAAGTCGAGTGTGTACAGAAACGAAGCAAAATGACTTGTTCTAGAAGCTAAGTGCGCAAGTTTCCACTAGCAACTGTGTGAATTTTAAAACAACCCTCTTCCTACAATCAGACCAGTGTGTTATTGTGTCACAGAGACATTTGTCATATCGTTTGTTTCACGCTATACACACTGGTTGACTATTCGAGATTTATACAATCAAACGCGCACAAAACTGTGAGTTGAACGGTATTAGTGTGTTTCCATCACATATCGGCCTGTTTGGTGTCCGGTTCACCAGTACACTGCTTGTTCGATGGCTTGACGCAAAGTACTCAAGGCGCAACCATGGGAAACCGCTCGATCATATCCCTGGGGACATGGTGTGCTAATATTTTTCTGTCGGACCGGTGTATCTTCCAGATTGGTTAGCGCACGGCTCAAAATCCCCGTGGTTGGAAACGCCGGATGTTATGGCGCGCAACAGACCCCAGTGGCGACTGTTATTCCACCGCATCATGTATTAGTTAATGTCTAACGGAACATAAAAACAAGAAAAACACTAAGTGATATATGTAAAAGCAAAAAATAGTTTTCCTTTGCTACTGAACTTCACTCCCGTGATTCTGATACCACATTGTCCGTTATCAGACCGTGAATATATATATATATATATATATATATATATATATATATATATATGCGCTACCGAATGGGATGAAGCAGAGAGTACTATGTCTGATTACTTACTTCATACAAGCAAAGCGCAAGTCACTGCTGTTTCAATGCGCCGACACACCAGATATTTTCACAATCAGCTGCCATATCCAGCGGGCAGAGCGGCAGTTCAAAGCCACGTGGGAAGATAGTACGATATCAGAATGCATAACCTTTGTTAATGTAGGAGGCATGGACATCATCAACGCGCATCAACGTCCCTAAAGGACTGGTGTATCGGTCCAACGGCGTGTGACCCGCGCCGCCCTCATTCACTGCAACCATCAGGTGAGCAATATTGAGGTAAACTACAAGTCATATAAATACTGCCCTCCGGCTCGAACTGAAATTTTGACTTCACAGTTCGTTGCACATTCGATCATCCATATTCAATCAATCCGGCTGGAAGAGTTCTCCACAGAGGTATAAATTTCTGGAAGCTAATGTTTTGTGGATCGTGGGTTCTTCGCAAAGTGCAAATTTCGTGTGCTTCCTGCCAGAAAACGCGCACGAGTTCCTTCTTTTTAAGCAGCACCGAATCAAGTTCAGCCTTAAAGGCGATTTTGAACGCTACCTACTAACATCAATATCGGCCGTGAAAAGCTTCGTAAAACGTCTACCGTGAAATATAATCTCTTCTGACACGGTAACTACGGTCACTTGCAAGCAATTCGCAATCCGGTAAAAACCGCTCCAAATCTAGCCACGGCGTGCAGACGCGTTGACCTGACCATCATCATCATCATTATGCGCGTTAGCTAGAGATGGGAAACACCTCAGTTACTGTGACCTAATACATAAAAGAAAAGAACGGAAAATATGCAACAGATGCAAGCCAGCTGAGCTACCAGCAACGGATGGGCATCATTCCGGTACGCTACCAGCCGACTAATATGCAGCAAAAAAATTACTAAGGAAAATTATATAAGGCTAAGTAGAGATCGTGGTTAGAGGGGGAGGCTAAGAGGGATAGGATGGGACAAAGAAACTCACAGCACGAACGTCCCTGAGGTCGGTTCCTACCCATATCAGCAAGTGTATCCAGCCAAACCTGTTCATCGTCTTTCGGACCCCAACCAGGGAGCCGAGACGCTTCAACCAAGGCTAGCTTCGAAGTGAGGGCCTTCATTCCTCTGGACCAAGTCATCGCTTGGCCACCAGTTTTCTTCTTCCATCCACACCCCGAGCGAGCAAACAACGCACGTCGGAGGAACCGGTGGGCTGGCATGCGCAACACGTGGCCGAGCCATCGTAGCCTGGTGCGTGAAATAATGGTGCTGTGCGGTTCATTTGCATTTCCTGTTGCGTAAACAAGGCGTCGAACACGCTCGTTGCTCACGCGGTGTTCCCACCAGATGTGAGTAAAATAGCGAAGGCACCGGTAGTCGAACGTAACTAGTCACTTAATGTCCGCTGATCTAAGGGGACAGGTTTCAAAAGCGTACAGCAGGGTCGAACGTACCGCTACATTGTACACTCTACACTTCAGGGCGCTGGCGCCAGAAGTGACGAAGGTGACCTGACTAATAAACGGTAGATCATCCGGCGAATCGTTCGCGCATTGATATTGCCGTCTTTCGTGAACAAGGCGGCAACACGCAACATCCGATTTGGAGGAGCAACTTCGATAGATACGGGTTATGACACAACCAAGTGAATCAGTTTGGCGAAAATCAAAAAACGGCGCGTAATTATGATATTCACGTCGCGTTGGTTTTGTTCATTAGGACTTAAGACACATACTGTAGTCCTAAAAGTTTGATTTGGTGTAATCGCTGATCACTTCCAGTCGTTAAGTTCTCCCTAATACCTACCTAATACCCTAATCATGACGTACCAGATATTATTACATCTGGGAGATTACCCCGTGTTGAGACCGCTGCTTCATCTGCGCACACCAAGCAGCACATGAGGACACCGGTACAAACTTGTCGTACCGTATTTGAAGCGGGTCGCTCACCAACTCAGTTTCGAACTCAGAGTGGTGAATGTATGGAACGGCCTGACGAAGCACGTAGTTGAAGCAAAGTCGGTGTCGGAATTTAAGAACTTCCTGGACAGACACTTTGTCGACGCAAAACATATTGAGCGCAACACAACATAACAGGTCTTTGTCCCTGAGTGACATTAGATGCAGCTACACGGAGCAAACTCTACTTACTGCTTCCAACCAGTAATCACATCGATTGACGTTTGTATTGGAGGAGTAGGGGCTCACACCGCTTCTCGGCATTGATTCGATCCAGTCCACACATCTGCTAATAAACAACACGTTTGCTGGTATCGGTTTCACTGAAGAAGAGGAGAGCAATTATCAACCACCATTCTTGGATGTTTTAGTAAAAAGCCATGCTTCTGGACAACTGCAGACAACAGTTTATCGGAAAGCGACGCATACAGACCAAATCCTGAATTACCGCAGCAATCATCCAACGGTCTACAAGCGCAGCTGCGTAACAACTCTATTTAAAAGAGCTCAGACGCACTGCAGCACCCGCAACTGAGGAGAGCGGAGGAAGATCATCTGTTCGAAATGTTTACACGGAATGGGTATCCTAGGAGTTTTATTCTACGTTGTTTAACATCAATAAAACGACCGACGCTTGAACAAACATCAGAAACGGATAAAAAAGGAGAATCATTCTACCATACATCAACGGCGTCTCTGAGTTGGCGACGAGACTGCTATTACTTTTCGGAATCAGAGTTGCTCACAAGCCGATAGAAACTATC